TCAGAACACTATTGCACTAAACCCATATGTATATTCATATGAAACATAAATCAAATAAGTACTTTCCAACACAAAACAACTTGAAAGGCCTTTTCAACACAGAATCACTCATAAGACTTTCCAACATAAAGCATGCAACCCCTCCAAAATTCAAAGGGAACCACTTATTTAATCACCCAACCATTTTTTTTACTATATATGAGTGGACAATGGTAAAATTCAAAAGTGCAAGACTTTTTCAAACTCCAAACTTATATTGAATGTATTTATAAAAGAGAAATGAATTCATATGTCATTGTTTTGCTTCCAAACTCAAGAAACAATGGCATGCCATCATCACAATGTCACATTGGTTCAAGACATAAAACACGTGATTGTTTTTCAATATGTTTCCAACTTTCACAACATAGGCTACCAAATATTCAAAGAGAGCTTTCAATCAAACTTTATGACGTGAAGGCATCGCAATTCTAACCAACGTTCATGTAAGAAGAACAAGCATTGATATCTTCATGAAAACATTTATACTTCAAAGAGGGGAAAGCCCCCACAAATCATATAAGCCTAGAATCATGTTGACCAAAAGAAAGGCTAGAAGCGTGACATTAATAAGAGAACTTTCATGTAAAGAACATGAAATAGAACCATGTGTGTCAACTTCCACCCATTATATTCCAATGCAACTTCAATCACAAATCATCAATAATAAATGTACTTGCCCACAATGATTCATTAAGATGAAGAGAAAAACTTTCATAATGTTAAGTATATGTACTTGCTACGATGCTTCATGTTTTAAATCGCATCTATCCTACTATTATGAACAATAAGTCATGGAGATTTCACTAATCACAAAACAAGGATTACTTGGCATTCTCATATGCGAGATGAAATTAATAGAAATATTCAACCCCTAGCATAAGTTCTCATATAAATCACATGTTCTTATGCAAAAGGAAAGCAGGTCACCCATGGAGATGGGTATTAGAGAGTATATCAATTGTATGACATAGACTATGAAAAGAGAACAAGCCAACTATTATTCATTCTCAACACAAACGTTCACTACTAGTATTACATTCTCAAGAAATACAAAAAAAAAAAAAAAAAGATGACGTGGAATTCTTGCATCTAAACCTATTTCCAAAACATTCGATTAAGAAGGCAACTGTCCAAACATCACAATTTTTCTCAATGGCATTTTGTCAAACACTTGCTATGCAATGTTTGCAAGATCATATAAAATAAGCTGATATGAAAGTTTGATTTACACACCTACTTGATTGAAATCTTCTAAATAATCTATAAAAGACCTTTCATGATCAGTGCAACAATCATTTCAACAAGAAGATAAAGAAGATACATATGCATACACATAGATAATAGAATCTCATTCTTCGGATTTTGAAAGGATTCAAACACCATTATTCTTTTCATTCACTAACATGAAGAAAATGGAAGCAAGTAGAGTAAGGAGAGGGAAAGAAGAAGAAGGAGAAGAAGAAAGAGGAGGAGGAAGAAGGAGAAGAAGAGGAAGAGGAGGAAGAAGGAGAAGAAGAAGAAGAGGAGGAAGAAGGGGGAGAAGAAGGAGAAGAAGAAGAAGCTCGCCTTGGAGATCAAGAGGAGTTGGTGGCTAAAACGAGTTAGTGGGCTTTCAGTTCGGTCATGGAATTCACAAGTAGCAAAGACGAAGGGAGAAGGGGTGAGCTTCGGCCTCCGGGATTGGTCCAAACATAGGAGAGGCGAAAGGATTTGGCCTTTTCCTGGGCTTCACAGACAAGAAACTGAGAGAGGGAGAGGTGGAGATGCTTCTGCAAACAGGAGAAGAGCGAGAGGGAGGGGAGGTCCGGATGCTTGAAGACCGAATGGGGGGTTTCGTCAAAAGCAGAGAAAAAAAATGGGAGCCGTCCAAGGCCTTCGGTAAAAACACCTTTGCTGAAGACTTCTCCTAGGCTATTCGAAGCTTCGATCTGCTCCGAAGCGTCAAAATGGAACTGCCTCGTCTGAAAACTTTGCTCAAGGCAACCGGGCAAACATCAAATTGGGAAATCATGCGACTGCGAATACTGAATATGGCAGAATCAAATTTCAATGCAATTAGAACTGCAGGATCTGATTTCTTGATTTAGAGAAATATTTGAATTGTGCAGAAAGTTGAATGGATTTAATTGGGATTGTATCAAGCTGCTTTGGGCTAATCTTGAGTCCAAATTTAATTCAAATCGAGTCAATTTGAGTGTAACTAGGCTTTATCAAATTAATTTGGACAAAATTAAGCCCAATTAATAATTAATTTGGATCAAATCGGGCTCGACGGGGCTGAGATAAATTGATTGAGGCTAATTAAACCTTGTCGAGTCTAATTCGACTCAATTTGAGTCGACTCTAGCTTGAGTTAGACCCGATGAGGTCCAACTAGGTCGCTCATAGACGCTCGAGGGCACTCGCGATAAAATTGAGGTCAACATGTTCCCTCTGATGTTCGTTGCTCACCAATTGCATTCCCTCCAACCATTGTCTCAAGCTGATTGCGGTCCCTCCGTCCTCTATCTCCCACCGACTATGATCCATGGGACCTCCATCACCCACCAATTATTATCGTTCCGACCTCCATCGCTCGTGACTACGATCCCTTTGACCTATATGGTCCATTGGATATGGTCCCCTGACCTCTGTTGCTTGCCAAATACAATTGATATGATCACCTGTCTACCATAGTCTCTTTAACCACAGACGCCTGCCGACTACAGTCCGTCCAACCTTCGTCATCCACCAACTATATTCCCTATGACTTCTTTCACCTGCCAACTACGATCCCTTTGACCTTCATTGCTCGTCGACTACAGTCATTACAAGAAAATGACATATTTTAAGTGAATTTTCCGGCATTAAAAACTAAATTTTATGGCGGATCTCCATCGAAAAGATTGTGACACTAATTCGAGCATCAACAAACTTTTCCGTCGTAAAAATTCTATCGAAAAGTTTTTTTAGTGGAATTATTTCGCCAGAAAATTTTTGAACCCTAGAGACTCTTCCACCTTGCTGCATAACAAAATGTGTTAAAATGTTATATATTTTATATTTAAATAATATTAACAGCAATAAAATTTAAAATAAATAAAAATAAAAATATTAAAATTAGAAAATAAGCAATTAAATTAATTATTAATTTTAAATTGCAAAAAATTGTTTTTATAAATTATTAAAATCTGTAGAAAATCCGTTGAAAAATCCGTCGGAAAAGCTGCAAAAAATATGTTGGAAATATTTCATTGTAATCCGTCAGAAATATACAGGAAAATCAGCCTGAAATTAGTCTGCCGGAAAATCCACCGGTAATAGGTGATTTTCCTCTAGTGAGTCCCTCTGACTAACATCGCTAGCCGACTACAATTCCTCAGACCACCATTTCCTGCTAATTAGGTTCCTTCGACCATCGTTGCCCAACTACGGTCCCTCCAATATGATAGAATATGATATAATAAAAGTATAAGAGAGTACGTTTTAAGACAAAAATATATGATTAACGAGAATAGAACACATTCCATGCTGGAGCATTCATGATGATAGAGAGATATAGATTTTAAAATCTTAATTTATTATGAAGATCAATAAAGAGTAGATTAAAATAATTATAAGAGACGCTAGAGTTTTGATTTAAGAATAGTAATGTTGGTTGGCCCTTTTGGGTGGGTAGCTAAAATTGAGGTTAATAATACTTTTTGAAGAACATTCATAGTCTACCAAACATCCATCAGCTGACACCGTCTAAATTACCAATGGAATATTGTCTATTAAATAATATCACCAAATGCTCGTTATAGACTAACCTCCAACTCCCAATATTTTTTTTTTTTATGATATTGTTCACTCTTCATGAGCTATTGCCCATTGTCATTTGCCAATTTCCTACTCTTACCACTAGCTATTTTCCTTCATCTTTCATATATAGATACTCATTAATTATCGTTCGTCCTCCCTTGACGTCCACAAAACAATGACCAACTCCCAATGCTATAAATGTAAATATAAATGTACATTAACATTTATCAACCAACTTTTCGGTCTGATTCTCTTTCGAAATACAAAGGGTCGTGCACAACTTAAGAATATCCAACCTGCGAGAGTCAGTGATAGGGGCGCCGCTCTGGCCCATACGATCACACACTTGTCGCCTATCTCCCAGTAGCCTTGTTCGACAATGCTCAAATGAATTGGAATAGACCGGTCTAATCGTCCACAATATTTTGATGCAAGCTGCGTGGAGAGATGATACATTTTTTTTTCTTCCACCAGCTTAGCTTCCAGTATTTTTGCTTAAAGCTACCTCTATTTCTGAAGCAATGTATAATGTATGGCTTGTGGTTTTTCTAAGCGCCAGCCGTCACTTCTTCTTCTTCTTCTCCTCTTATTCCATTCCTCTCTTTTGACTTTTTCTTATTATGTGCTAAATGCTAATTAATTATTGCGTAAACCTATGATTAACTTGTATAAGACATGGCGTCGGCCCGTCTAATTACCTTATTTGTCCTGCTAAAAATGCCAGTATGTCGGGTGGCGGATATCACGAGAGACCAAAGCAAAGCTTGCATAATATTTTGACGCCTTGCCCTGCCCTGCTGAGTGAGAGCATTTCCGTAATTTTAAGGTTAAAAGAAACCACAGGACGGTGGGCCCTTTCTTTACATTACACACCAACCTATCATAAATTTTGTATATAAATCACCATTATTTATTAGTTTCGTTAACATATATTTAATTTTGATTTCTTTTAAATAATAAAATTGATTTATAAGTATCATTAAGAAATTGTGGGCTCTGCTATAATAAATCACTGATATCAATTTATTTAGAATAATATAAATATAGTTGAAAATATATAAATACATAAATCTGTCGAAAGAATAATTTAATTTGAGTGATTAAGGGAAATCTTTGCTATTAAAAGGACAAATAGGTGTTTCCAAGACTAGATGAAACGATTTCCAACCAAATTTCTAAAATTAGAATCCCCACTCCGATTTGCGGAGCAAACAAGAGAGGAAGGGCGAAAAGTGCAGGAATCAAATTAGAGCAACGGGGCCGCCATGAGCTCCGCCACCTTGGGGATGGCAGTTGCCTCGCCAGCGGCATCGAGGGATGCCGATCTTGGAAGCGGACTTGGAATGCGTCGGTCGCGGTCGGAGCCATTGCTGCGGTGCTCTTTCAGGGTCTCTCATCCGACGGCTTCGCCTCGGTTGAAGACGAGCCGATCGATTGGAGCCTTTCCGTTAGGTATCTCAGGATCAATCCTCCCCAGCTCGATCCGGTCGCTGATCTTCGAGCCTGAGGTTGTCGGCCTCTCGGACGCAGAGGAGAGTGAGGAGGAAATTGGTGCTGCTGCTTTTACTGGTGGTTTCCAGGAAGAGAATATCTCGAAGAAGAGGGCTAATTGGGTGCAGAGGATATGCGAGATTCGGAGTCGATGGAAGAGTCTCCAGGCCAAGGATGGGAGCGATGAGACCGATCAATCCGTAAAATGGGAGGAAGAAGATAATGCATGCGGAGTGAGCTATGAATCGGAGGAGAAAGTGGAATGGAGTCGGGAGGAGTTCGCGAGTTTGTTGAACAGGGTATCGTGGAAGGAGACTAAGCTCTTCAGCCAGCTGGCTTTCCTATGCAGCATCGCTTACGACATTCCAGATATCAATGTATGCAACCCCTAGCTTTCCTTCAGCAATCCCTGCACTTTAATTGTTCTATTTGAGGAAAAAATGTCCTCTTTTGATATTATGTTATATCTCTTATAATCAATTAAATAATTTACAAATTCATCTTCATCAAAATTTGATAGAATTTTTTTTTTTCTTTTCTCGTTCCGATCGAATGGTGGGATTTGCGGATCATCTGGTTCATGCCAGTGGCGTGGGCGATTTGCATGTTGATTGCCTATTTGTTCGGTCTAAGTTAGGAATCGGCTTATTATTTTTTATTTCTAATTTTTCTCTGAAGAATTTCATCAGAACTGTTTTGTTATTTGAATAACTTCTTGAAGACCAAAATCTCTCTCTATATATATGCATGCGACCTTTCGTGTACGTTGGGGTTAGCTTGTTAGAGTGTTAGGTCGATTTCTACCAATTTATGTTAGAATATATATGACCAATTTAATTTTTTAAAATTCAAATTACACGTTTCAAATGTTAATGTTTTTTTTTTTAAAACAAAATCATCAATGATTAAATGCTGATTCAAATTAAATTAGAAAAAAAAACCATGTGAATATATCTTTATGCAAATTATATCGAATTTGAAAATTATTTGATTTCTTTCTAGATTAATATTAGCATTAATTTCAAAATAAATTCAATAATTTTTTAATTCATTTTAATACACTTTATATGATAAATAATTTTATTAGTATAATATTAACTTTTTATATAAATTTAATAATACCACATGATCTATACATTTACAATTATATATGATGTATCGAAATTAATAAAGAAAAGCAAAGAGAAAATATAATAATCTGTTTTGTTTTGTCATGTAATTAATGATTTTTTTCGTTTAATTTATGAAATCTTGTTCTTGAAATCGCTAGATATTTATTTTTAACAGCATTGGCGTTTGTTTTGTCAAATCAATTAATCTTCTTATTGCTTCAACAAAAAAAGAAATCATGACATGTGAGTTGGTAGCATTAGTTACTATTGTCTTTAATAGTTCAGTGTTCAACATAAAAAGCTTTTACCACACGCAGGCCGATGAATTGAGGAGTTACTACGGATTCTGGCTAGTGACGTCTTCGCTGGATAAGAAGCAGGAGGCTGCTATCAAGGCGAGGCAAGATACTGACTCCACCCGCACGGCTCGGCCGGAGCGCGTGGCAGCATCACCAAGCCAGTCAGCCCGCTCGCCCTCCGTCGCATACGAGATCGCCGCAACCGCGGCTTCCTACATCCATGACAAAGCCAAGAGTCTCCTCTACCTCGGAGCACAAGTCACCGATGGGACTGATCACTATGCAGCTAATTATGATCAAGGTCGTAAAGGCAGGACATACATGTCTAAAGTGGCGACCTATGTGGCGGCGTCGTCGGTGACGGCGGTAGTGGCTGCTGAGGAGATGGCCAGGCTGGAGGCAGCCAGGGAACTTCAATCTCTACATTCTTCCCCTTGCGAGTGGTTCGTGTGCGACGAGCCGAGCACACGCACTCGCTGCTTCGTCATCCAGGTTTTCAGCTTATTTTCTAAGATACAAAATTATGTCCTATATTTAATATTTATACATAAAATTACTCACTTCATAATATCTCCACCAAACAGCCCAGCCTTCAAGCATTTCTCAGCTCAAAGTACACTCTCAAGCGCGTGTCAACTAAATAGCATTACATTCAATAAAACAAAATCTAAAAGTAGGCTCCACACAACTAATCAATGAGAATTGACGCATCCTTCCAGTGTCTCTTTAATTCATATCCCTAATTTTTTTTGTTTGACTGTTCAAAGTGCAAGAGAGCAGTACGGTCCAATTTAAGAAAGAATATGATTTTTTTTTTTTTGGTAAATTAAGGGGTATCATCATTTTCATGAACAAAAATTAGTTCCAAGTGAAGAGAATCTTGGTGTTCAAGTTGAGAGTCAAAGTTGATGTCAATATTGTGCATAGATTTTATTTGTGATGACGTGTATTGACATTATTGATGATAATATGCGACAAAATCAATGAGTATTCATATAATCATGCAATAATGATTAGAGAATTGTATCTAAGTAATGGTATTTTGAGAATCATAGGAATGTGATAATGATCGAAGGATTATAATTAAGTGATATTTGTAGGAAGATCGTAGTTAGGCAACAATGATTGGAGGGTTACAGTCAAGTGACCATAGTTTGATGGCCTTTGTTTGCAACAATGATCTAAAAATTATCATTGGGTGACGATAGTTATAACTTTGCAGTCAGGAGATAATGGTCGAAGGACAGATGTCGAGCAATGAGGGTTAAAGGACTATTGACAATCGATGGTGGTTTGATGAACTTCGTCGAGCATTAATCTGATGACGATGATTTGTTGGTGATTCGATTGTGGTAGTTGGGTGGTGTTCCAATGGTAGTAGTTGGGTGGTGTTCTTATGATTGTGATAGAGTGGAGATGTGATGATGAAAGTGGGGCAGTAACCCAAATTGTACATTGATGGTGGCGATCAAGAGGTATTTTGAGGGCAGCGATTGTTCTAATAGTGGTGATTAAATAGTGGCCGGTCGAATGAAAATGATTAGGAAAAGATTTGATGGTGGCCTGTCATTGATGCTCGGGTAAAGCTCTGAGATTTTTAGTGCATTTGAGTTCCCTTGAATCTCAAGACATTGTCCTCCCCCTTAATGTAGAAAGTGAAGAATTATTTATAGATTTTTTAGAGAGACATGTCTTGTGAATGTTGATTATTTATCATTATTTTCACATGTAGATACCTCAATAATCTTGGAATTAAATGATCATAAGCTCGTTGTATTCATCTTAATGTGACGCTCGATTTAATTATAAGCATAACATATTTTGAAATTATTTGGTCATCCAATTAATTTTCTACTGTGTTTCAGATGCTTGATCTAGGTCATTTGAACTATGATTGGATGACTTTATAGGTTGACATGAACCTCTTGTCAAGAAGTTTAGCTTAACTATAAGTTTCTCAAAATTAGAGTTTGGATGTCCTAAATTTAATTCGAGACATTTCTTATTTAAATATGTATCAATATTCATACAAAAAAAAATTACGATGGCATATAATTTTAATAGCTCCTTTAGATTTTTAAAATATCAAAATTGATGTTAGGTGATCAAGTATGTTTGCATCGATGTAATGATGTAAGTTAGAGTATTGTAGTCAAGGGATAAAATATGATGGCAAGCATTATGGTGATTGTGATGTCCCATAATCTAATTGTGAAGAATTATTAAATGAATAATTCTTTCAAATTAGATTATAGGACATCACAGTGATGGTAGTCAAAGGCTGTAGTTCGACAATGGTGTTCAGAAGATCGTAGTTGAATGACGATGATTAGAGGATCGTAGTTATACGATCATATTGGTTTATAATGTTTGGAAGACTATACTTGGATGATGGAGATCAGAGGACTGTAATTTAGTAATAGTAATCGTACTATTTTAATTTGACAATGATGAGAGAGGATAGTCATCAAGTGATGGTGGCCGAAGAACATTCATCAAGCAATGAGGGTTATAGGACTGTAGTCAAGTGATGGTGATCTGACTATGTTGGTTGAGTGATAGTAAATGGTATGCTCCGTAATTCTTATCATATTCTATATTAAAAAAAAAAATCTAATTTAAGTGATATATTTATTATTTTCTAGCATAGGTCACAAACTGTTCTTTTTATTCATTATAATTTATTTATTTTCACATATTCTTGAAAATAATGTCCGCTGAAGACTTAATATTAATATTTGGATCTAAACTGTTTGCTGAAATGTCATCAGGGCTCCGATTCTCTGGCATCCTGGCAAGCTAATCTCTTCTTCGAGCCAACAAAATTCGAAGTAAGTCCCCCACAAATCGTACGTTGTAGAAGAACAGCATGTAAACAGAAGCTAACAATTGGACTCATACAGTCACTAATTAACCCAAGTGGTTGCCATTCATAAACCAGGGAACCGAGGCTCTAGTCCACCGAGGCATATACGAAGCAGCCAAGGGCATATATCACCAATTCATGCCAGAGATCAACTCCCACATCGTTGCCCACGGCGGAGCCGCTCGATTCCGCTTCACCGGCCACTCCCTAGGAGGAAGCCTCTCGCTTCTCATCAGCCTCATGCTCCTCTCACGCAACGCCATCCCGCTTTCGTCACTTCTCCCCGTCGTTACCTTCGGCTCCCCCGCCGTCTTCTGCGCCGGACACCGCGTCCTCGAAGCCCTCTCCCTCGACGAAACCTACATCCGCACCGTCATGATGCACCGCGACATCGTACCCCGCGCCTTCTCCTGTGATTATCCCAACCACGTCGCCAAACTTCTGAAGCGCCTCAACGGCTCCTTCCGTTCGCACACTTGCCTCAACACCGAGCATCTGCTCTATTTCCCGGTTGGAAAGCAATACATCCTCCAGCCCGAAGAGAAGACCTCGATGCCTCACCCTTTGCTTCCATCCGGCGCCGCACTGTACGCGTTGTTGGATGGCGATGTTGGCCGTGCCGCGCTACGCAAGTTTTTGAACACACCGCACCCGCTGGAAACGTTGAGCCGTCCGACGGCGTATGGGTCGGAGGGAGCAATTTTGCGTGACCATGACTCCAACAATTATCTCATGGCCGTCAACGCGCTCCTACAGCAGCACACACGGGCGCTCGTAAAGCGATCGAGGCGGCGGAGGATGAACCATTGGTGGCCCCCCCTTGTTACCGCTTCGACTGAGGCGCAGCTGCCCGTTCACACATGGGCAAAACATCATATCGAAAGCGCTACTAAGGAGGTTGCATCCGGTGCTTGAGGCCGCCCGGGGTGCGTACGTGCTATCATTATATGAGCTCAACTTTGGCATATGGGTTAGCTTTGTAATGCCTGACTCTGTTAACTGGCCTTTGATTGGAACGCATTGACAGAGAGCAAACCACACAGGGGAAAAATCTCTCTTTTGACTTTTGAGCAATTCTGCATGCGCACTCTAAGAAAAAAAAAAATCAAGTCATCACTACTTGCTTCCTCTTGGCTCTTGGCTGTGATGATCTTTGTTTTAGTTCATTTTATGTGTGCGGCTTTGCAGCTTGGATGCATATATCTTAACTGTTTGTTTTCATCTAAGAAGAGGGAAAGAACTGTAATTTCTGAAGTATTCGTAATAAATAAGCATATAATGTCCTATTATATATAAATTCTGTGTGCTTCAGATTGAAATATCATATGGATCGAACAAATCTGATGATCCCAATACTATTTAATTTTTAGTTCATTTTAAGGTTAACTCAAATGGATATATAAGAGTTTACTGATTTTTGACAAAGATAATCAAAATGATTGTCAAATATTATTCGTATTATATCTGTTCGATTCTTTTATGCATAAATCATTTTCAGAAAAGTTTATGTAAAAATTATTTGCATAACATCTCAAACATGTGTAATTAGTAATTATGCTCCACTATCTTTGACCTATAACTACCACATGTACTACTCTCCCATACACCGTTTATTCTCGTCTATTCTCTTCACCGTAGGATTATTCTCATCTTTATATTGTATAAGCATATGAGGAGGAATATAAGACTTATGCTTTATCCATGGCTATGTGTTTCTCTTTGCCTTTTTCTTTTTCCTGTGTGCAGGTTACAAGCGTCTTTATGGTATCAGAGCTCCAGGACGTAAGCCGTGCCGGAGTCGATTTCAATAGCTGGCAACGAATCATCTTCTACCTCCTCTGCCCTACCACAGACAGTGGTCACAAATGTTCCCATCCTGACACAATTAAAGTTTTTACTGGCGAATGTCAAGACCGTCCTCAACACTCAACTGGTCGCTGACAACTACCCTCTCCGGCGCTCATAGATCTATAAGTTATTTATGGCAAACGGTGTCAACAGATATCTGGATGGCTCCATACCTAAACCGCAGTGACATATCCAAGGATCAGATAATACTCTAATCCCTAATCAAGCTTAGACTACCTGGATGATGGTGGATCAAAACCTATAGTTTACACTCTTCTCTACAACCTCGCCTTCGATTATACCATATGTGCTCAACCTAGAAGCTTGCAAGGACATCTGGCTCACATTAGATAGGCGACTTCAGTCTACAAATCAATCACGCATTCAGCAGATCAAAAATGAACTACACCAGCTACATATGATAGATCGTAACATAATGTAGTATTTAACAGAAGTAAAGCAGAAGGTTGATGCCATTCAAGCGGGGACATAATATTATACACGCTTAATGGTTTACCTCAGGTATACAATGCTTTTAAAACAACCATCCGCACTTGGGAGGAACCTGTTGATCTGGATGAACTATATTCATTACTTTGTAGTGAATAGGTTAATGTTCTATTGGAACAACTTGCTGAACACATGACCTCCAGTCCAACAGACTCAGCATTTGCTTTAGCTACAGTGCGTGGAAGATTTATGGGACGAGGGTGAGGACGCTCTTATAATACCCAGGGGAAAAGTCTAATGTTGATTGGTTCTTGGATACTGGAGCCTTCAATCATTTAACCTCTGATGTCACTCAACTACATTCATCTCAACTTTATACGGAAAGCTCTTAAGTACAGATTGGCAGTGGACATCAATTACCCATCGCACACTCTGGCTAGGGCATTTTACCTACACCATCGAGTAAGCTTGCTCTCCCTCTTATTCTGCACATACCCCATCTCACCCACAATATTCTCTCTGTAAATCACTTAACTCATGACAACCCTTCTACATTGTCTTTCACTCTAATGTGTTTCTTATTAAGGATTCCAAGAATCATCGGACTCTGCTTCAGGGATCCTGTCATCAAGGTCTCTACCCAATTAGGATAAGCACCACTTCTCAACATCGCTTGACATCTTCGTCTAATGCAGTTCTTGTTACATCATTCAATAATCCAATCTCTTGGCATCAAAGGCTCAGGAATTCTTCCATCTCCACTCACAAACAACATGCGACAGCATTCTCCACTTCATTGTACCACTCCCTGTGATGTCTACGCTCTAGCAAAGAGTCATAGTGTGAGACCTCGTTCCCTTACTGTTCCTCTCAGATTTGGATTTTTCCTCTCAGGATCGTCCAGGACGATTGGAAATCGTCCAGGCCGATCGGCACTGTAGAAAATATCGGCCTGAGAATAGTTCTGGGAATCGTCCAGGACGATTTCTGTCCAAGTTAGATCTTGGGGCATCACACATAGAATGTCATTTTCATTATCTGTACCTAAAACCACCAAGTGTTTAGAAATTATACACACAGATGTATGGGGTCCATCCCCTATTTTGTTAATGCAAAATTTTAAATATTACATTGTTATTGTAGATGATTCTACCCGATATACCTGGGTATATCCTCTTAAATCTAAATATGATGTTTTTCTTACATCCCTTCAATTCAAACTGCTTGTTGAACGTCAATTCCAATTGCCTATTAAAATACTTCATTCGGACAGCGGTGGGAAATTTCTAAGTACATAGTTTCAAAACTACCTACGCTCGGTTGGTATCTTTCATCGCCTTAGTTGTCCTTACATGCCTCGGCAAAATGGCCTTGCCGAGCGCAAACACCGCCACCTTTTGGAAACTACCCTAGCGCGTCCCTTTCAAGCTAATATTCCATCTAAGTATTGGGTAGACACATTACTCACAACTACCTACCTAATTAACCGCCTACCATTTACCACACTCAATAATTTCTCTCCATATCAAAAGCTTTATAATCGTCTACCTGCATATGATCAATTCTGAGTCTTTGGCTGTCTATGCTATCTTTGGATTCCTCCAGTTCATCGCCTCAAACTTCAACCTCGCTCAATTCCATGTGTATTCTTTGGCTATGGCATGCAATCCAAGGGCTATAGGTGTTTCAATACACTTATTGGTTATATCTATATCACTCAGCATGTTCAATTTTTTGAACACCAATTTCCATTTAAAAACCATCCTTCACCAACAGCTACACATTCCTTGCCAGCTACGGCTAATTCTACTTCTCCTTTGGGGCTTGTACCTACACCTCCCATTACTACCCCCTCTCCAATACTATCTTCTCCATATACCTCATCTACTCACACTATAACTTATACTAACTCTCCTGTCTTCCCAAATACCACTAATACATCTGCCTTACCCATGCCATCACCTGAGCTCGAACCTACTACATTACATCCACGCCATCATATGCTGACCCATAAGAAAACATGCCACTTGAAACCAAAGCAAATTTTTTATTTAAACACATTTACAGAAGTCAATAAGCATTCCGAATGGAGAATTGCTATGTCTATTGAATTTTAGGCACTCCTCCAGCAAGGTACATGGTCTCTTGTACCACCTCAACCAAATCAAAATCTTCTTGGCTGCAAGTGGCTCTTTAAAGCCAAGTTTAACGTGGATGGCTCCGTATCTAAATACAAAGAACATCTTGTGGAACAGGGATTTAAACAACTGTTTGGTGTGGATTACACAGATACCTTTAGCCTAGTGGCTAAATTTCCTACCATACGCCTTTTGCTTGCCACTGCTACTACGTTTGGATGGCCCGTCTTTCATTTAGATGTATCAAGTGCTTTCCTCCATCGAAAATTAGAGGGGCAAGTATTCATGAAGAAACCTCAAGTATTTCAAGACCAACAACATCCTTCTTATGTATGCAAATTACATAAAGCAGTTTACGGGCTTAAGTAATCTCCTCGTCGCTAGTTTGCCACATTTTCCTCTCATCTCATTAACTATGGCTTTACACAAAGCAAATCTGACCCGTCATTACTGACTCTGTTAACTGACTCATTTTCTTTGATTGGAATGCATTGGTAGATATCATAGCACACAGGGGAACTCCTATATATTGAACGCCTCTTCTGAGCAATATCATCGACAAATCTCTCTTTTGAGCAATGCTGCGCACTCTAAGAAAATAAAATAAAAATCAAGTCATCACTACTTGCTTCCTCTTGGCTCTTGGCTCTTGGCTGTGATGATCTTTGTTTTGGTTCATTTTATGTGTGCCGCTTTGCTTCTTGGAAGCATATATCTTAACTGTTTGTTTTCATCTAAAAGAGGGAAGAGCTATAATTTATGAAGTATTCGTAATAAATAAGCATAATGCCCTATTATATATAAATTTTGTGTGCTTCAGGTTGAAATATCATCTGGATCGGACAAATATGATGATCCGAATATTATTTAGTTTTGAGTCCATTTAAGGTTAACTCAAATGGATATATAAGAGCTTACTGACTTTTGACAAAGATAATCAAAATGCTGGTCAAATATTATTCATATTATATATGTTCATTTCTTTTATGCTTAAATCATTTTTAGAAAAAGTTTTTGTAAAAATGCTTATAATAAACAACACAACAATGATACAGAACATTATCATTTTCAACACTACAAATTATTAAAATATGGGGTGGTTACATGTAAGAAAGTAAAGAAAAAGCATTAAATGAGCCATTATTGCTCAAACCAAAATAGAGCAGATGGCCAAAAAATCAGCTTAGAAAACAACAGCTAAGCCATCAAAATCTGCTAAAAAATGAGCAAAGACCTAAGCAAAGAAGAAGATAAAAACAAAGTTATGCCTGGAGTCATAGTAGAAAGCATATTTAACAACAATTCGATGTGGAGAGGAATCCCTGGTTGCCTGAAGACCATCCAAGGGAGAATTAGGATGGGATGTCATCATCGTTCAAGGCATCAAAATGGAACCCCATCAAAAAAATAAAAGCGTATTCGTTGGCTACAAATTGAAAGCACGAATAGAAGAGAATGTTGAATGCCCGCAAAGTAGACCAGAAGAGCAACAACCGCAGAGAAACCCATCAACATTAAACTGAGGCATATAACATATTTTGAAATTGTTTCCCATTTTTCCTTATAGAAATTTTAAGTGAAATTGCTTTCAAAATGCTGATTCTGATAGAGTCATAGCAACTAAACTTGTTCCCAAATATTCTCGAATTTCTCTTGATGCGGTGCATCTTAGGATTATGATGGCCTTAGGAATAGTATATCTTAGTTAGCTTTAGTTCATGCTTTCTAGAACCTTCTAAAAGGTTTAATTGCCTTTATATAAGTAGGTTATTGTAATGAAGAAGATGATATGAATGAAATTTTTGGATTTTAGAACAACTTGGATTTTTTGGTCTCATCGAGCTGTTTAGCTCTTCTTTATCATGCTTCTTTGGTGATTCTCGCCACATTAGATGGTATTAGAGCAAGGTATAACCCTTGAAGTCGATCGAGGCCCTAGGATGCTGTTAAATTAACCCTTTGACGTCGATCGGGGTTTTGGATGCTTTGGGAAGATCATGTATGAAGCTAGGTTTTCAACGACGTTCGAAGCCTCCACCAGCCGGCAACCTTACCAGCGAACCTACACATCCATCCGCAAACAACCCCTCAAGATCGATTAGTATCACTGATTTGAGCTCGTACCATTGCTTGTCCAGTCCACAGGAATGGCTGTGACTGCGTCCACGGTACTTGCGATAACAGGCATCCACTTCAGTCTCGTGCAAATCAGGCTCTGCCTTCGCTCCCGCTCACAACCAGCGCCGCCTCACTCCTGTGTACAACCAGATCTCGCAACCCAAACTGCCAGTAGCTTCCCTCCATTTTAGCAAGAGACCTTCGATCCCCGCTCTCGCACAAGAGCCAAACCTGCAGTCCATCACCCTGGCATACCCCATATACACACTCCAATCCTGCTATCCACGAATTCCTCTGCCTCCAATCAACTTCCACACATCCCATCTCCACCTCCTTTGTAAAAACAAATGCTATGCTTCTCCAACCAAGACTTCCTCTATGTCTCCTACGAAAGGGAAGACTAGCCCCACACTTCGACCAGCGCTCCTCCACATGACCCGCATCAGCATTTCACTCATTTTCCCATGATCAATGCCTCACTTTATTCATATGCTTTTAGCAACTATAGAAATTTGAAATTGCTCCATGAATCCTGAGCTCTATTATTCAATTGCTCTGCCAATTCCATTTCGGTCGATAAGAAGGCCAATTTCTTCCATGCATGGTTCACAGGTTGGCGTTCCTTTTTTGTAGCAGGGAGGTGATCCACTTGGATGATAGGTCGACGAAGCTTCCACATCAGGGCATTGTCATCTTCACTTGAATCGAAGTCATTAGTTGATGATTCAACTCCTATTGCCCCTTTGCAGCTGGAGTCTCCAGTTGGGCAATTTCTCTTTGAGATCTTACTTAGTTACCCTCTTCTTGTTCCCGCTGTTGTTGAAGCAAATGCATTTGC